TATAACTCGAATCGCGTAGTGTGAATCGTGAATCAACCTACGTGAATCAATGTGTAAATCAACATCCTTCCTATAGACGTGTCATGTAGAGGTACCGACATTTACTAACTCACCCCCTGCTAATCTGTCTGTGTTTTCCCTAGTAGGCTCCCGTGGGGAACCAAAATGTTATCATTGAAAATTTGCGAACAAGAGCCGAGTTAACCCGAGTCTAAGCTCGTGTCACCAAACAGAAAAATCCCAAGAGACAGATAAGAAAGCTTCATTGTCTTAAAAAGTCCTAACCAAAACAATAGGCAAAGTTTGATAAGCGTAAAGTATTTGTCAGAGAAGTACAGAATACGCATCATTCCTTCTCTGACGACTCTCCGGCTGATTCAAGAATGTCCAGCCGACTATCATGGGGGTTAGTTAGTAAATGTGTTCCCAGTCTTTAAAAAGGGAAAGAAATCTGAACCAGCCAATTATAGGCTGATATTCCTTACTTGTGTTGCGTCGAAAATCCTCAAGCATGTTGTCCACAGCTTTATTATGAAACATCTAAATGAACATAACATCTTAACTGACTGTCAACATGGTTTTAGAGCAAATACATCTACAGAGATGCAGCTAATTCTCACCTTGCACGACATGGCAAAGGCTAATTAGAGCTCATCAATCCACGCAGTCATCTTGGACTTTGCCGAGGCTTTTCACAAGGTCCCTCATAGGCGTCCCCTAAGGAAACTACACCACTATGTGAGTCGTTTCTTATACGTTTTCAATCAGTTTTCTGCAAAGGCCAAACATCAAGTCAATGTCCAGTGACTTCTGGCGTACCCCAAGGTACAGTCCTTGGCCCACTGCTTTTTTTACTATATATAAACGACTTACCAGACAATGTGCAATCAATAGTTAGGCTCTTTGCGGACGATGCTTTACTCTATGGCATTATTGCTAGCGATGCAGACTGTGACCTTCTTCAATCTGACCTACACAGACTAGAATCCTGGCAACACTATTGGCAAATGGAGTTTAATCCTTCCAAATGTAAAATTCCGTGTAATACTCCACTAAATCACAACTAGTATGTGACTCGACAGACAGCTTATCCGACGAGAACAAATACCTTCACCGTGTTTTTACGAAGAACAACTACAACAACGACTTCATCCGACGAAACACTCACCGACCCACTACCACTACCGAAACAAAAGACACCGCAACCCCTACGACTACAGCAACCATACCGTACATAAAAGGCATGTCTGAAAACATCTCGCGCATCTTACTACCCTTCAATATCCGCGTCGCCCACAAACCCATCACCACACTACGTCAGTTACTAACCAACGTTAAAGACAAAGACGAACCGAGGAACAGACAGGGAACGATTTATAAGATCAATTGTTCCGACTGCCCAGCCTCCTACATCGGTGAGACTGGCAGAAACCTCACAACAAGACTGACTGAACACAGACGGGCGACGAGGAAAGGTGATGTCAGCAATCACATTGCTGAACACCATCGACATACCAACCACAACATTGACTGGGACTCTGCGCAATGCCTAACCTACAGCACTGACTATTTTCAACGACTGACTCTGGAAAGCTGGTTTACTAACTTAGAACAGACTCCCCTAAACAGATGTCAACAACTACCCGCCCCATACAAACGACTCATTCACGACATAAACATCACAAACGACCGAAAAAGAACAACCTAGCTTTACCGACAGACCGAAACAGACCAATCACGAACGACTTACGTCACTTGAGTCTTACAGCCAATAACATCACGGCAAAACCAACCGATCATTTCACACGAACTGGAATAAGAACATTCTACTGACAACAATCACTCACTTGACTCTGATGATGACTTCCGCACAGGTTGTCGAAACGTCAGTCACTGCCACCGACAACAGTCCTTCTCAGGACTACACTCACCCGGACGATCAGACTACACCTTCACATGTTACCCCCGGGTTCAAACCATTTACTGCAAATGTAAAATTGTTACCATCTCATATAAGATCAACCCAGCCCAGAGAAAATACGTCTTCTGTGGTGTAGAATTGGAACGGGTTCCCATATCTTGGGGTTACTATCAGTAACAAGCTTAAGAGCGACTCACCCTAAGATCCTCTTCAATTTTCATCCAAGGATAGATTTCGCCCATAATAGACCGATTGCAAATATGGCGGCCGCTACACGAAAGCGAGGCTTTTCAGTAGTGACCCTTGCTAAGGGCCAATTTGTCTCTGTTTCCTTTGTTGATGCGAGTGAATTTTATGCCACAGTTGCTTGTGTTGTAAGTCTTCAGAGCTCTCTCTCTCTCTCTCTAGAGAGTTTGAATGTTAAATTAGAAAGTCATGGACAGGCCAGTGGAGAAAATGCATGTTAACGAGTCGAGGCAGTTTCTTCGGGACCATAACGCCAACCTGAAAGGTTTGACAGTGAAAGCTCAGCTAGTGGCTAAGTAAGAAAATAGTATTAACAGTGAAGCCTTGCTACTTTGATTGCGCTATTTCTTTATGGATTTATACTCATGGTAAAAGCGTTACAATGCTTTTCTTCTTTGTTTGGTATGATTGCAGAATACCCGGCCCATTAATTGCATATCATTAGGGTGTATTATCAAAGTCTCGTTAAAGAGTAGAAGGCAATCTGCAAATAATGGGCCGCGTCTTCTGCAATCGCTCTTTGTTTTACTCTAGGGCAAAGGAAATCCTTCAAAGAAAGGAAATCCCATTGGATAAAAATAACGCACAAGCGCAAGCAAGTGCTCAAACGAAAAAAGTGACCTTGAACTCCTCAAGGAAAATGAAGAAAAATTTAAGTTTTTTCCTTCTGAGAAAGAGATGAAGAAATGCTTAGACGGCCTTCCACCATTCACATACAACTCAGTCGTAAAGTACGTCCGCACATTGGGTAAAAGCATTCAACAATCACCGGACTACATGGTTATGAAACCATTTGAACACGGTGTGAATTTCTTTATAGAAGGTTATTTACATGATGTTGTAGCACATCATCATGTTGAAAGTCAAACGTTTTACTTAAGAGCGCTTTGCTACAAAAGCCTAAGAAAAAGTGAACCTCCTCATAAACTTTGGCTAGCAATTTCTACCAAGCAGCCTAATTTCGATGTCCTGGGATCGTCTTGCACCTGTGTGGCTGGATCCCTCGGGTTTTGCAACCACGCTATCGGGTTGATGTATCTAGTTCCACATTTTTTCATGACAAAAATCAAAGTAATCCCAGACGACTTGGCTAGCACGTCACTTCCTCAACAATGGCACAAGCCAAGAGGGAAAACTATATCTTCAGAGCTACTGATGGATATGATTTTTAAGAAACCCAAATTAGACCAAGACAATGCACAGTTCGGAAATTGGGATTTCCGTCCTTCTGGAGTCGCTTGTTCATTATACCCTGCACTCAAGGTAATCCCCAGCAGCAAAGAGAAAGAAAACTTTAAAAGTAACTTGCAAGAAATCAGTGGGAAGCTTGGTCTTAGTCTCTGCATGACTGCAGGTATGAAAATGGTACCCACCAAAGTTGGACCTGCACCCTTAGGGGGCTACCTCAGCTATCAACTGGCACCTACTGAGGGTAACTTTGAAGTCACATGTAATATTCATTTCTCAAGAGGGTGCAATGATAATGATTTACCATTGACAACTTACCCACATTTTCCACTGTCTTTGGTTCTCCCTCTTTTCACAATCACTGAGTGCTCAAGAGAGCATCAACAATTTCTCGAATCATTGCAACTTAACGAAAATGATGCCACCTCACTTGAAAAGGACACTCTCTCACAGCGCAGTAGCAATCGATGGTGGAAAGAAAGGAGACCAAGGATTACTGCTTCTCAATTTGGCAATATTTTGGTTCGAAAATCAATTACAAAGCCTTTTCTAGAACGACTTGTGAGTGACTGCAACCTGAACAGTACTAACAATTTACCAGAGCCATTAAAACATGGTATTGAAAATGAAAGTGCAGCCTTGCAACAGTATACTAAATATATGAAGCACAATGGCCATCCTATCAGGACTTTTACCTTAGGCTTCATTGTAAACCCTTCATACCCATTCCTTGGTTGCTCTCCAGATGGCAAGGTGATTGATGAAACTGAGGACAGCCCATATGGGATACTTGAAATCAAATGCCCCTACAAACACAGAAATGTTGCCCCCTCAAACAGCATGCTCCGGTGATCGTCAGTTCCATCTTGAAATGATAGATGACTTTCCCGTGCCCAAGGCAACTCACAAATACTATAAGCAAGTTCAAGGCCAGATGGGAATATCTGGGGCAAAGTGGTGTGACTTCATAACATACACATTTAAAGGGATGGTTATTGAGCGCATTTATTTTGACACAGACTTTTTTGCAGACATGCTCTTAAAACTAGAGAAATTTTTCTTGAAGGATTTTGCAAAATATTTCAAGTGCAAAACTACACCTGCATGTAATTTGTTGTCAACATGTACAGTAACTGCCAGCACATCAACTGTTAGTGGCACATTCATTGGATGAACTTGTTAATAACTTTATGATATCAATGTTATTAAGTGGCTCTTTATATGGATGCAGGCCAGCAAGGAGGGAAATCTCTTATTGTCAGTCCATAAGTTAATAAGCTCCCATCAGAGGTGGAGTAATAAGTCCATCCTGACAGCTTCAGTGTTGAGTAAAATTTAAATGCCTTCAAGGAATATTTTTGGCCTGATAAGCATTGGTTTGTTCTTATGTTAGAACTCTTATCTAATATCCTAAGAAAAAGATCCTGACAAAAATACTGGATTCTCTGTGGGCAAGCCAGGGTACCTACTCCTATAACCAAACAACTGCAACAAGATTTTATGATAAAATGGCTATAACCTAAGATCTCTCTAGGTAGCTATTTCACTTACTGAACTGGTCAATTTTCCATATTAAAGAAACATTGAACCATTATGAGATGATTGGATTTTGCAGGTTTGTAAGGATAGCACAAACTGTCCACATTTAGTTGAGGCTTCCAGCCAAGGACAATGGCACAACCTGATTAAACAGTTGAAAGTTCTTAACTTTGTTTATGGCTCTTTCCACATGAATTCTTTCAGACGCGATTTCTTGCGTAGCAATTACTTCAGATGGGTTCTGTTGACTTCTGGAACCAACAAATGAGGGGATATTAAGGCCAATGCCCATAGGCTCAAGAAGGTCAGAAATAGTGAACCCCTTGTCAGCCATAACGATGTCTCCAAATGCAAAGGGGAGTTTAAGGAACCCAGACCTTACTGTGAGTTCTCTGTCAGAAATGCTGCCAACATACAGTTGTGAAACAAATGTAATGTGGCCACTGGGAGAAATTCCAATGAGACCTTTGAAGGTTGTGTGGCTTTTGTAGGAGGAGTAAGTTTCACTGTGTTTAACCAGTGAAGATGGAGTTTGGCACTTGATTTCGGTTGCATCGATAATAACCCTTGTTTTGGGGTACTTGTCCTTAAAGGATTGGGGCATTGCTTTATCAATCGCCTCTCTATCTGGCCATATGTTCAGGTACCCGAATTTCAGGTACATAAAATTTACCCATGAAATGCAGATCCTATTGACAGTAGACAGATGGATGTGGAATCTATGAGCTAAGTCACGTTTAAACAAACCAAGCCTCATTATCACAAGCACCATAAAAAATTCGTCCAATGTACTCAGTTTTCGTCGCTTGCCAGGTTTATTTCCCTTGCTCTCTATGCTTGAAGCACACATGAAGTCCACTTCGTCGGTTACACTGGAAACGTAGGCAATGTTTTCTCTGTTGGTACCCGGATTTAGAAAATTATAACAGGTCAGCAGGGTCTGATAGTTCGGGAATCCTGTGAAAAAGTTAACGTCTGAATCTGACTCTTTAAACTTAAGTATGCCGAACTGGTTTCTCAGTTGTTCGTCGAATGATTTTATTAGATCTTTGTTGGTTTCTTGAAGAATTAAACTTTCCTCCAGTAGTGTGGCGACTTGTGCCCTCAAATCGGCGATTTCTTTGTCCAGAGTATCCTCTTTGTTGTTTTCATTGGTCGCCAAATTATCCATTGTCGGACAAGAAGAGGGTATCTCAACGACATAGTTCCTTTTTCGCGGTGATTTTCGATTTGGAGATGCCACGGACCACGCAAATATGGATGGGATAGCATCGTCTTTAATGTACAGGCGACCTTTTAAAGTGAGACGAAAATCTGAATCTTTGAAGTGTAACAAGCAGATTTTAGTTCGCTTGGTTAATTTAAAATCCTTCGAGGCATCTCTTCAGATTTTAACCAGCCAAGTCTGCAAAAGATTGGGAAATGGTCTTTGTTTACACCAGCTCTCGAATAGGCAAATAAATTCAATAATCGGTTCTTTTATCAAATACCTTCAGCCTCTTAGGATTTCTCAGGGGAAGATTGTGATAAGTGACCTTCTTGCCGTCTGCTCCAACTCTGTATCCTGACTTGTGACACAACGGTACGCAACAATTATCTGGCATACCTCGAAAACATGAATAAGTCTTTTCTAAGCTTTTCTTGACTACTGCTTCGGATGCAAACTTTGTTCTCGCCGGTTTACTTGAATCAATGGAGCACATAAACAGAGATGAATTGGCCTTAGCAACAATTACTACCGAAAAGCCTCGCTTTCGCGCAGGGGCTGCCATATTTGCAATCGGTGTATTCTTCTATCAACTTCACTTGGCAAGTAGGTAACAAATATGAAATAATATTAGAGAAATTGAACTTTTTCCAAATTTTCAGATCGGAACTTTTGGCATCCCAGAATGTGCTCAAAACTAAACGGTGAGCTGGAGAATTTTACAATACTTGCAGTTGCCAGTTCTTGAGAATACACATCATTCAAAAGCTCTAACTTCACTTGTTATAAACAACGACCCTTTATCTTAATAATACATATAATTGCAATCATAATCTTTCATTAGTGTAATAAATCTGACGGCACAAAGTTTGACGAGTTTGAGCTCTTTTTGCAACATGAGATTTAAGCTAAGTTCAGAGGAATAAATTGCATAAGTGGCTCGTACTCACAGGCTCTTTTACACATTAATGCAAAGTTGGATCCATCATATGTGACAATCAGTTAAAACATTTGGCAGCAACTGTATTTTTGTTCCACATCTCAGAGAGAGAGAGAGTTGTGACACTCGGCTAATATCCCCATATTTCTATAATTCTAGCTTATACATTAACGATGGCGTGCGTGTCCTCAAAGCTGATAGCTTGTTCTTTTTTCGGAAATGGGAATATAACGTGTTGAGAATCATGAGGAAAAAATGACGTGGTCTCCCTTATTGAATGTGTTGATGATGTTACCTGCCATTTAAAAAGTTGTCATCTCTCACTTGTGAAAGTTACAGAGTACGAATTAATTTTAGCAAGAGTGGGGAATTTCCATCCATCTCATGATGAAATAATGAAGTTGCCAGTTTGTCCTAAACACAGACATAATTTAGGCAAATATTGGCAACCACTGAGGACTTGCCAATATCCACAACACGAGGGACGGAATACAATACTTCATGGTAAAAACCCCGTCAACTGGATGATGGCCCAGGAGATAAAGGATATGTTCAATGCACCCGTTCAAGTTGGGTCGCGTAAGTTATTTTTTGCTGGGTTTCCAAAATGATATTCTCACATTCAATAAATTTCACCATCGGCAAATAAAGTACAAGAAAGCAAAGCTAAAAAAGCAAAACCACTGAGAGCAAAACAAAAAACAGGCATGCGGCATGCTACGCATGCAAGAGTTATTTTTTTTGGATGGGTGGTTTGAAAATAAACACTTAGTAAGTCAAGTTGGACTGATGTTTACATTTTTGGAAATAAAGTTCAGACACCGGTATTTGATGATCTATCGTCACTGGTGTCGGAATAATTGTTGGCAAAAACAAAGTGCATTGGTTTGTGTACTGGTAGGTGTAATGGGAGGGTGTATAAAAGTGTTGTTCAATCTGCGACCTCGAGTAAAATTTTGTCTGAATCGTGTGTCGATAGTTTATACCAGCTTATGGCGATTCAGGTGATCATTTTTTTAGTTGGTTACCTCAACTTGAAAGGGCGTTTTGTCAACCAGTTTTTATCTTTTGTTGTCTTTGGTCACTGTAAGGCGTCAGTTAATTTTTTTTAACTAAAACAATGACGTTGTGACTAACTTATACAAGTCACGGTAACGAATTCCGTTTTGAAGTTTTCGAATTCGATCAAGGAAAGAGATATCAGTAAAGACAGGTCATTTTCAAAGAAATGAATAACAATTTCAACAAATACATAAAACGAGAAAAGGTGAACGCAATCATATACTTGTATAATAAGGGTATTGAAAGAGAAGCAAGTGAAGTCAATTTTGCCGTTGGGGTGTATACTTCTTCTGAAGCGGGAAATCGTCTCGAGGAGGAAATCAGTTGCTGTTTCATAAAAGGTATGAGACGATCATTACATGCGGTCTACTGAGTCGTCTAGAAATGAGTCATGATTGTTCTTCAGTGCCTGTGGAACGTTGCAGTTCCTCTTGGAACGCGCTGTTTTTTGTTTGAGCTGGTCAATTTCAGAGCGCTTGAGGCTGAGCGGTTCATCGGGTTAAATTTGGCCGTTATGGGGGAACTACGGAAGAGGTGCAGGTCGTGCTATGGTTGTTTTCTGTTCGATAGAGAGTGACGCAGTGGCACACCAAATATTTACAGCGAGTGTCTGAGTTTCTGTACGCTTTGTTAAGGTGTCTTTACAGGAGGTAAGGTTTGGATAACGGTATGGTCTACAGGTCATGGCATCTTTAGGTGCAGGATGCCGTGAGTTTGGATTTGTATGGATTTGTTGGGTTGTCCTGTTAAGCGTTGCTTGGGTGCATTTCAAAGTTTATTGCGCGCATAGTGGATGTTCGTGATGCACAACTGTATGAATATTCTTTGTGTCTTGTGTCATAGGAATTAAGAGGTTTATTGCGTTTGTGGGGAGAAGAAAAACGCGATTCTTTAAAAGCGGAAGACCGTTAGGGTCATTAGGAGGTCGTTAGGAATATATTGTATTTTGGTAGAATGGTTTGTTTTACAGATAGACGCCGTGGTTGAGGTATTTTGGAGAAAAAATTTTTTAATCGGAGTTAATGCCCTATGTCCGATCGATAAATAACATAACAGATAATACAATAATATATGAAGACGGTTTGTGGACTATAAAAAGCCACTTAGCCTAAAAACGTATCTAGTAACTTAAAAGTCATGGAATTATTCATCGTTAGTTTCATCAAATTGTTTGTGAGTTCATTTATTGCAACAAACCAAGTAAGGCAACGAAGTAATGCAACAATTTGGAATGTTGGCAAGGGTCACATTATATTTGAGAATAGTTTGGAGCATCTGTTAGCTATGAAAAGTGTATGTTCTTGATGATGTTTGACGTCTTACTGTAGGAAATTGTAAGGCTCTTTGTGTTGAAAATTGCTTGATAAACTTCTTCGAATGCGTCTAGGGTGAGACAGGCATTGTAGTGATGAAGTATTTTCCTCAATTACTGGAGTGAAGGCCTTCAACCAAAGTAGCTCGTACTTTAAATTTCTTATCGCGATGCGTACGGAGGCGCTGGTTGTACAAGAGGCGATGGGCTGTACCGCATTGCAGTTGGAGCATTTGATGATGGTGGATGTTTCTGTTAGCGTGGGTTTCTCTGCCATTGAATGTTGACATTTATTACAGGAAAGTCAAGTTTGGAATGCTTCAGCCATGGTTATGCTGTCAACAGATATGGCGTTGGTGTCGAAGAGGTTTTGGAAGAGTTGGTTGCTGGAAGGAGTAAAATGTTCCTCTAATGAATTGAGAGTAGTAGAAGGGGTAGTTGTCAGGTATTTTGCATTGTCGTATGATTTTATGCGTACCTGGGTAACGGAGTACGTGTTGTGGTTGGTTGCTTCTCGGATAAGGTCACAACACAGTGTCAGGTGGATGGTACCGGTGTTGTCAGTGATGGCACAACAATTTAGCATGGGAACAAGAAATCTGTCCTTCATGATGACTTCTCGCACAGAATCTGCGTCTAGTGTTATTATCCCTTTGACCGTGGTTAAATGATTTTCGGGAAGGGTTTGAATTTCTGTGATAGTTGTAAGTGAGGTTTCTGATTGCTGCGATGTGGAAGTGTCGTATTCAAAAGGATTGTCGGTTGTAGTGGCTGATTCGATTTGAGATTTTTTTCCCAGGATGATATGGTTTTCTTCTGGATCGAAGATACTGGGCTTCTCTTTGACGTTAAGGATATGGGCAGGGTTTTTTGATTCTTGGAAATTCTTCAGTATCTTGTGTTTGCAATCGTCGTAACATACCTTGCGTCTCGTTAACTTGGAGGAGAAAGGTGAAGTAATGGGTGGATCCATTTCTACTTTGCAAAACAGCAGTTACGTTGTGTATGTAACCTTTTAGGTTTAGTTGCTTGCTCATAGTTGTGGCACAAATGAAGAATCAGCAATGTGTTGGTAATGCTAGTGCGAGAATTAGATTTTGTAGAGAAAGGGAGAATCGAAATTAGCCAATGAACAGGCAGAGATGAAAAGTAATGAATCAGGAATGAGAAATCAACAAATTTGAGTTGATTTTGACATGCTGTTACATGTGATTGGTCAAAGGTTGAAAAAGGACAAGTGGCAGGGGTTTAGTGGTGATAGGTGAACTTTAAACCTTAGGAAATGTGTATGTGAAAGAATGGAAGTTGTTTACAAGGAAATGACATGTGACAATAATAATAATAATAATAATAAAGTCTTTATTCCATCATAAGATAAAACTACATATCTTGTGTTACGATGAATTCGGAAAAACTACAACAGAAATCTACATACATGTTATGAATTAAAAAGTATGTCATTACAATAAATGGCGCTTAAATATCAACCTATGTACAAAGGTGTTCATAAAGTGCTGTGTAATAATTTTCGGGCCTGCGCAGCCTTTTTCCTAAGATTGTGTACATATGTCTTTTGGACAGGAATGATGTCTTTCAGGGGGTGGCAATGTGATAATGAAGTGAAGGGTAAATTTGTGAGGTAGTTACACATGATGGGTCGAAGTCCAAGCTGGGAATGGTGAATGCGACTGGAAGAACATTTTTTGAACACGTGGATAAGTTGTGGTAAAAGGTTAGTAGTGGCATGAACTAAGTCTTGGAGAAGGTTTACGAAAATTTACGTGCTATATTCCCGGAAGTAAATTAGATGCCTAAAGAAAATGAAGGTTTAAATGAAGGGGTCGAACATTGTGCAAATGTAATAGGTAATAGAGATGAGTAATTTAACAAAAGATAAAACGAGTAACAAAGGATTGCATTTCAGAAGTGTTAACGTAAAGACAAGTGGACCACTGACAGTCGACAACTTTAGAAGTTTATGGAAACAACCGTATTTCGGATAATCAACGGTTTATTGATATAACTATTCGATCTGAAATCAACAAATTTCACAACAGTTATTTGTGGTATTCACCTACGTTGAGATCCCTAACAAATAAATAAAGAATTACCGTAGGAAACTCAAACCAAACCTACTTCTGTGGCGGGTTTCCATAAACAATGAACTGCTGTCCTGAAACTGCAGCTTGAATTACCGAACTCAGCGAACTTAAACTCCTGTATCTGGTAAGCGGCTGACTCACATTTTTCC